TCAGGAGTCAGGATACCTTTCGTAACAGTATGCTTTCGAACTAACCCATGCTTCAGCTAGGACTTTTAAGGGTTGTAACGTGGCTTGGTTCACGGTTTAAGAAACAAAGTATAAAGGTTCAAATTTTATTTGTACCCACCCTCTCTTCGTGATGTTCTCCAAACCTAAACTCAGTTGATCATACATTAGACCTTGTTTGAGTCTTTGCTCTAATTTTCTGGTGATGGATAACTTATTTTGAATAGGCAGTCATTCCTTTTTTGTCGAGGGTTTGTGTGACCTCCTTTTTTGATTTTGTGATCCCTATTTTTTGCCTGAACTGTTTCTTTTGTGATTACAGTCAGCGGGATGCCCCAGTTTTGTAAGTCTCCTTCATAGGTTTTGACTTAATGGGTTTTTATTTTTTGAGACATAATGACTGCCTATCTGTATGATTGTTTGGAATTATCACTATCTTCTGTTTTGTAAGGACCTCTTTGGTGCCATTCGTTATGTACTTGGATCAACTGAGAGACTACCCTGCCCCAGGTTAGAATAAAGGGTTTTGATTTTCGAAAAGAAAAACTCCTACTTCTTCGGCTCAAAGGGGTTGACGAGGGATTATCTTCCTTATTACTCCAGTGTTTAGGAATTGAAACAATGCCTGTACCTCATCAGCGGGGTCTGTTCAAAAGCATACTGTAAAGATTGCGGTATCGTTTTCGTCATCCTCCCTCAAGAGGCTTAGAATTAACGAGAGTTGACATCAGAAAAAATATGAAAACAGTTTGCATACAGTAAATGCGAACATATTGATTCAAAAATAGACATAAGCGATGCATTAATAACAATGTTTTAATCATGAGTAAACGTTTGAACAATCAAAAGAAAATTACAATTTGAAAATTCGAATGAACAAAAATTTCTAGTCTCAGGGCTTGTCACTTCAAATGGTGAGCCTTGGAGGGATGGTAGAAAAATTCAGCCTGACCATCTTGTGTGAATTCCAGTGCTCCTTCATCAATCAGATCCTGGATCTTGTTTTTCAAAGCCCAACACTCGTTTGCATTATGTCCTGGACAGGCAGAGTGGTAGGCACACCTTTTATTGGGATCATAAGCAGGATGTGCTGTGTTGGGGTTCTGGGGATGATCCCTTAATGTGATCAGGTTCAATCTCAACAGGCGTTGTAAAGCTTGAAACGGCGACATATTGAGCGGGGTGAACTGCCTCCTGGGCTTGTCTGTCTGAAGTTGGTGAAGTTGCTGCTGAATTGGTGATACTGGAGCCATATGAGGAGCTTTCTCCTTGCCTCTTTGTCTCAAAGGTGGTGGAACGATGATTGGCTTTTTACCCTTAGATGTTTGCCCCAGTTGGTTGCCCTGAAGCAATTCGTTGATGAGAACCCCGAGCTCATCTTGTCTTTGAGTTAAACCCTGAATGGCAGTCATCTGCCCCAGCATTTGGGCTTTCAATGCATCCACCTCAGCTTGTAGGTGTTCCAGCCTTTCATCCTCAGCACTGTTCCTGACAAAAGTCTCCATGATAAGTGTCCTTAGCTCTTCCTGCCCCTTGGATAGATTCAGGAGGATTTTCCCGAACCGGGTCTCTTGAGCAAGAAAGTCCTGATTGTCTTGTTGGGAAGCCATGGCTGAAATAAACAGCGGGAAAGGTGAGTGACCTGCAAAAGGGATACCTGTTATGTAAGGATGAGTATGATATGCATGCAATGTTTTCAAGGATCTCGCGGGGTAAACCAGAGAAACTTGTTAGAGTTGGAAACTGGCAACTTGATTGAAAGTACTTCATGTTGTTGAGAGTCCTTCGTCACGTGTCAAAGGCTCACCATATCCAGTGGGTCATAGCCCCTGACTTTAGTCATCATGTCTGGTTTTGATTTCCAAACAACCTTGGTTAGGGAACCTTCTTCAGGAGTCAGAGCTCACCATATCAAGTGGGTCATAGCCCCTGACAACATTGGCTAGAGGAAAATGAATCCTCTTTGCCCCTTGCTAGATGTTTGATTTATATGACCTGCATCACAAGCCCTTGAGATCCTTGAAATGGGTTAGGATGTATGCAATGGTATGATGTCATGATATGCATGGGGTAATGTGAGTAACCCTGTTATGAGTCCAAATTAAGGACTGCAAAAACCTGCAAGAAACTTAGGATACCCTGTTATGAGTCCTAATTAAGGACTGCAAACACAACCTGCAAGAGACAAATGTCAGGTAATAAGCATGTAAGTAGTTCAAGTAGGAAGGCACACAAGTCACACAAGAGAAGCCCTTAAAGTTTAGGCCAGCATGGGGTCTGGGTAGTACCCTCTTGAAGTTGGTGGGCTCAACCTGTCCTAATCAAAGTAACCGGGTTCTAAGGTTCCCAATATCACGGGATTGCTTTCATTGTTCATCGTTTCGATTTAGCCACTGAACTGGCGACCGAAATATTCCAGGAAAGCAACCCTCAATTGAGTGTAGTATCGAGTATCAACCAACCTCGGACTGCACCAAAGTCAGTTATCTCACTACCCTAAAGAGGCCAAGATAGTTCAATTAAGGTTCCTAAGGTCTGTTGATGCTTCACGACACCACGCGGAGGCCCCGTACTCTCCTTGACTGAACTCAAGGGTTACCGGTACACACCAAAGTGCCACATCAATGTAGCAGACTGTTTCAACCATGTCGGTATACCCCGCACAGTTCCCTCACAGCCTTGTTGCTACTTTCTAAGAAGGTATCCCCCAGATCCGGGTTAGGATCTATAGAACTCCCAAGCAACCCACAATTTAAAGCACACAAGGAAAACAATTGAAAACACAATTATGAACTAGCCCTAAGGTACACCTCACTTTAAGTTTTGTCCCCAGCAGAGTCGCCAGTTCTGTGATCGGTGGATCTGGAACTGACTGTTTAACTCAATCAACCCTAAAAACCAAACATGGTAACTTGGCCAAAAGTGCACGAAAATTCAATTAACAGTTATGGTTAGCTTAGAAACTTCACATGGAACAAGAATATACAATTGAAATGCAATGAAGATGCTTAAAATGGAGAGTACGATCTCAAAAAATTTGCTGTACAGTTTGGGTTGTAGCAACTGTTTCTTCGCGTTTTGATTGAAGTTAGGGGTTGGGACGTGTTCAGTGATTGTCCAGGATGCTAATGGGAAAAGAATTAAGGCTTCAAAGATTGTCTAGCACTGATTTCAGATTTGTGTTTTTGACCAAAATTTTCAATCCATCCATGCTTGTTTGGGCGCAGCTTATAATGTCTTAGGCCTAGGGTTTGACTCAGTGATGATCATAGAATGGAATTGGCTTGCTAACTCACCTTAATTCATGCTTGGGAAAGAATAAGTCTTAGGGTTTTCACTCTTAACCATTTTTCCTCCTTTTTAGCCAAAACCTAGACCTAGTGTGCAAATGAACCCTAGCCTGATTTCTTGAGTTGGTTCATGATTCATAGAAATTGTCCAAGTTCACATGACACTATTTCATTGGTTTTTAAATTTTATTTGAATTTTCAAAGAATTAAAATGAATTAAATCATCAAAAATTAAATAAAATAAAAAAATCAATATTTGGTCTTGAAATTAACCATGGGACACGTGTGTGGCATGACAAGGATGAACCAAGTGGAAAAAATGGGTCCCTTTTGTCAAAAATTGGATTTTCAAGGATAGTTGACTTTTGCCATTTCACAAAAATTTCCCAACTTCTACAAGGCATAACTTGCTCAATTTTTAAGCTTTTCACATGTTCTTGGACATTTTGGAAAGGTCTTTGAGTCCTTTAACCAATGCCTTTGGTCCCATGTCATTTTGATTTACCAATCTCAAGTTATGGCCTTTGACTTAAAGTCCCTTTTTGTTGACTTTTGAAAATGACCTATAATGTTGAAATTGATAACTTTTTGTGAGAGCATTTCTTGGACTTGAAGTATGAAGATGAGTTATAGGAAATGTCTTTCTCTTCAAAATGAGCTTTGGATGGAATTTTTCTGATAATCCATGTGAAAGTTATGCTCTGGTCAATTTCAGTTGACTTTTTCAGCTGTCCAAATATAGCAACTTTTGCATCTTTGATGATTTCTGAGCCAAATTTTGAGAATCATGATCAAGCATTGATCAGATGATGTTTGTGGCTTCAAAATGATATATTGACCAAAAATTTGAACTTTTGACTGCCAAATGACCATTTTGCCCCTACAGTTGACTGTAGCGCAATTTAGGGTTTTGACTGTGCAATTTTGAGCTGAATGCCTTGAAACTTGATATGAGGATATTTGACCATGTTTGTAAGCATATGAGACTTGATTGGGCCTTTGAACACTCCATTTTCTTGATCAGCACACAAACCCTAGTTTTGACTATATAGGAGACAGTTGACCTGCACAACCCTTGGGGAATTTTGTGACTTGGCTTGGCAATTTCTTGAAGAATATGGGAGGGCAAATTTTGGGGTATAACAAAGACATTGGTCAAAATATGAGACATGAATTCAAGGATACTTTCTCCAATCAACCGTTGCTTGAGATACAAGGATTTGAGAACAGTTGCTTATGGCACAAGTTATGCTTTTTTAACTTCATGCAGGAGGTTGAATTCAAGTTTGGCAACTAATGTTCATTTGAGTCGGGTGCGACATACAAGTTTGTTTTGAGCACAAGTTCTTATGAAACCGTGAGATGATATACTAATGTTGAATTCAAACCAAGATCAAGCAACATCCATATTATTTGATTCATCATCTTCAATTTAAAACATTCATTCAAATTCAAAAATCCATGATTATTCAAGTATCATTCATGTTGCTCTTGCAAGATTACAAGTCATTACACAAAATAATTTCATCAAACCACTTCCATAGAATCGTTCATATTCATCCATAATCCTTTCCCAAATAAAGTATCATTACATGTCATATTGTGTACATTCTAAAACAAGAAGAAAAAGGGAAAATAGAGCTACAAAATGATATGTTTCTAAGTGACCAATTGTTAAAACTTGATTGAACTTTATGCTCCAAGAATGTTGTTGTCCAAAAAGCCAAGATGACAAACTGATTCAAGATATGTCAAAAGAAAACCAGCAGCAAAATTACAAAACCTCTTGTTGTCCAAAATTGCAGATGTTGTCCCAAACCTGTCATACAACCAAACCAGTCCAAAAACTGCACAAAACCTGTCAAAACAATCCACAGATGCTGCAAACAATGCCAAGAATTGCATAAAAATGGCAAAACACAAAAACAGCATTAGAAATGATCAAAACAGTGTACCGAATTAGTTCAAAATCTATTTCAATATTCCCCCCAATTTACATCCTTTCTCATCTAGAAAACAAGCAGATAGACAATAGGAATGAGGGGGCAAGAACACACAGAAAATTTCACATAAACTAAAAAAAACAGTAAGGGATTAGAAAAAGGATTTTACAAAAGATCTTCATTTTTATCGACCCAAAATCTTTCCTCTTCATTCATCAATCCACCTCCATTCTACAATTTCAATCACACAATTCTCTATGTAAATCGAATATTACACCTTCCACAACATCCATTTTCCTATAAACTATCTTCCAAACGCTAACATCACCATCAACAACACCGTTCAATCCACTTGTCAATCTCCCTTCGCCTCTCACCGTCTGAAACACAACTGTTAACCTCTAATCCATTCTCCCCTGACTACTTCCAACAACCAACAAAATCACAAACATAGTGAACTCCACCAACTTCAACCTGCATTATTTTCTAGATTTCTCATATACAACAATTCCAACAATATTTCTCAGATTCAAAGTAAAGTATAGAATAGGAAGATAATGTATTTTAGAGCTTAGCGTGCCTACTCGGATTCACATCACCTCTGATTTTCTTTTTTTCTGAATTTGTTGTTGGAATCGAATCATTGGACTTGCTCTGATCTTGTAAGTCTTCCTGTTTTTTTCTCAAATGTTATGCTTGTGTTGTCATGATTGTTTGTATGCATAGAATTAGAAACTTTGTTGTTGCTCTTTAATACTATGAATATTGTGAACCGCAAGAATATTTAGAACCGAAACCAAAACAAAGTTACGTTATTGTTGTTGTTTCTGATTGCTTGAATCCGAGCAAGAGATGTAGTTGTTGTTTGAAAACTGAAGTGACAAAGAATAATGAAGCAGATGATTGTTTGTTGTTGTTGTTGTTTTATGGTAGTATAAAGGCAATGAGAAATCGTGAGATTGATAAGAAACAAGAGAAACTGAGATTTAGAGAAACAGAAGAAAAAAGGAAGAAGCGGTCGAGAGCTTGTTTTAGAACGGGAGAGAGGAGAGTTCATAAGCATGGAAAATAAAGAAAGATTTGTGATGATTTTGGTCTTTTAGTTGTGATTATGAACAGAGATGTAGAAGTGTGTTTGAGAGAGATGAACGAATTTTGAGAAGGAGATAACAGAGTAAGGTGGAGAGGCGCTAGAGAGTGGAAAAAGAGTTCAGAAGCACGAGAAAAGAGAGAACCATGATATGATGTTTGCGTTTTCCAATTTTCATTTTTTGCAATTATTGAAATAATTTGTGGACCAAGTTTCAAGAGCTAAACAACCACCCTTTTGTTCTTTTTTAAGTTTTTTTTTTGTTTACAACAGATTTACATTGGGCCTTACCCCAATACCAACCCGACCCGATTCCCTCCTGCCCAACTTTTTATTTTATTTTATTTTTTATTATTTTCTATTATGTTTTATTGATATTGGGCTTAAGCTGCCAGCCTAATCTGAGATTACTTATTCTCCACTCTATTTCGAACTTTGCACCTTCCAGCCCGATTTTGAAACAGTTAGTTGGGCCTTCTAGCCTATCCGAAATCCTGCCCACACCCTCCTATTTGCTTAAATTCTGGCTCATTTACATTAGTTTTACTCTTATAATTTTTCAATTTAGTTTATTTGTTTTGTTAATTATTTCAATTTTCTTTATATAAAAATACCAAAAATATATTAGTATATTTTAATTTCTTTTGTTTTTAATCAATCATTTTCTTTTCTTTAAATAGAATAGGTTTTTATTTTCTCTTTTCAAATTTTTCTCACAAACAAAAATACTAAAAATATTATTTAGAATTTTAATCTTTGAATCTTCGTTCATAGCTTTTATTTGATTTAATTTCCTTACTTGATAAAATCATAGAACAATTTCTTTTTCTTTTTATTTACGTGTAGTTTACTATTTTCTTATTTTTTTCGATTATTGTAACTACTTACGTTTGTAATAGTTTAATTAAGCTTTTAGTTTTTCCCCATTCATTAATTTTTATCCCCATTCCCGAAGCGTTGTAATAGCGTAGAACTTTATTTTCCTCACTTTACCATTTTTACTTATCACTGTATAGTAATTAGGCGTGTATGATAAGATTTAAAATCAACCGCTAGATAACCCTAATCAAGACAAATTAACTGAAATCAAAACACTTTTCACCATGCACCTCTAGGGAGACCTCGCTTGTTGCCTTTAGATAAAACAGCCATGTCCCTTGAACGTGAGACACTTTAGCAAATACCCTTGATTAAAAGATCGTTGTCCCTCAATGACTCTTCAATGCTGCCTTCAGTAAACGATCTTAGTCCCTTACGAAAATTGCTAAAATATCCTACAAGTTCCCTTTATGATTGTACGATGACCCGCGCATGTCCCTCACATCCAATGATAGGACTTTCTACTAACTAATGGTAGGATATCACTATCTAAAGGAGGAGGAAAAGAACGAAAGACCATTGAGTAGGTAGATCGCTCGTAACCACTTGCTCACAAACTAAAATAATTTTCAAACCTCATGCTTTCAAAACAACCCGTTTCAAAATACTTTATAAATACTCTCGAGGACTGATACAAGGGTTATTATAAAACAAACTGTCTTACATTGGCATTTCTAAAACATTTTCACACAACGACACTTTTTCAACAAATATTTTTAAAATAGACATTTTGTATACATTCTCAACGATACGAGAATCATTACAAAATCGCCGCACTTAGGCATTTTCAAAATATTTTCAAACATACACAAGCACAAAGCATTTCAAAAGTGAGCTAGCGATTAAGAGCCCGTAGATAACTACAGATGAAAAGGATGCTAACACCTTCCCTTTTCACAACCTACCCCCCTTACTCGGAAAATTCTCAAAATGTCTTTCCTGTTCTTTTCATCCTTTCCTTTATTGGATAAAAGAAAATTCGGTGACAACTCTTCCTTACCGCAATTGCAATAAAACACAAAACTAAAAGTCAGTTCTCCCACCGTATCACACATTGCAACAATTAATTCACATCAATGTGTCAAATATAAGCCTAAAAAAAATTATTCAAGTGTTGATGCAATTAATCGAATCAAGGTTTTCAATGTCGAAACAATTAGATCATCATAAAATCAAACTCAAAATTACATCAACACATGAATTCAACATTAATTCCCAACAAAATTCCACAATCGAGAAAATTGAATCACATTTCGACACAAAAATTCATCAACAATTATTAATTGGATTTTCAAGATCCACTACAAATCAACAATTATTCAACCGATACCACTTGTTTCTATCATCATCATTAACAATTAAGCACTTATTTGAAGATCCAAAAGTTAATTTATGAACAAATCAATTAACGTTGAAATTCACCGATAAAAATTCATGAAAACAATTAAATCAACCAAGGCATTAAGAAATTACCGAAGTGATGACCAGAAAATTAGATCGAAGCAAGAACAGAGGGAGTTCCGCGAAAGGAACAAGGTGTAGACGGAGGGATTAGCACCGAGGGAGGAGGACGGAATGGTCGGAGACGGCTAGAGTGTTGTTGGCGCGTGGCGGGTGGAGAGAGAAGCAGGGTGGCGCGATTGAGTGAGAGGGAGGAAGAAGATGAATATCTCACAATGTTCTTGAGCAAACTCTTGAAAGAAATTGAGAGAGAATTGGAATTATTTTGTGTGATTTTTGAATAGTGAATACAAAAGTGATTATGATTTGAATCTCAAGAATATATAGGCAAGCCCCTAGGTATTGTTTGGCAAGTGATTTTTGAATAAATGCAGAATTTTGATTCATTTTGGTGTACGGATCAAGATCTAACCATAATCTCATGACCTTCGATGCATAATCCTAACGCGAAACCGGAAACAAAATCGTCGATGACGAAATTTGTGACGTAATGCCGAAAGAATCTCCCCAATACGATAAAAATCGAGTGAGTTATGAATTTCGAAACGGAGAGAAACAATTGACAGAAAACTCTCTGAGCAGATCTTTTCAGCTTATTTTTGTGTGCAGTCCGAGAAAACCCACAAGGTCATCACTTTCAGTGCATAGTCCTGACGTGAAACCTGAAACAAAATTATCGATAACAAAATTTGTGACGTCGTTCCAAAAAATCGCTCTGATACGATAAAAATCGAGAGAGTTGTGATTTTTTGAATAGCGATAAATTTGGACAGAAACCCCAATGTTTCGGGCTTCACCATTTCTTACAGCTTATTTCCATGCACACTTTAGGAAGCAAGCCATAAACCGACACCTTCAGAGTACAATCCGAACTCGGAACCTGAAGCAAAGTTGTAGCTAATAAAATTTGTGATCTCATGCTTCGAGAATCGTCTCAAACTGATAAAAAATCAAGAAGTTACGATTTTTGCAATATGGAGAACCAGTCTGGTAGAAAACCACTTCGGGGTACAATTTTCTCAGGTAATTCGCACTTTGAAAGATCTTCTTCAAAGAATTAACTTTTGACCCGAACATAGGAATTGAGGACAATATCAAGATGGATTTTATGTCCAAAGAACCATCCAAAAATGATCTTTTGGTCGGAAGTTATTCATTTTTGAACATCCGAAATAACAATTGACCAGCAAATCTGCTATATAACATGTTTTCGGATATTTTACGCTTTTGAAGATCTTCCTTACAAATTTAACCTTCAACCTGAATAAATGAATTGAAGAAGACCTCAAGACGGTTCTAATGCCTGAAGAACCATTCCCAAACCATTTTTAGGTCTCGAGTTATGAATTTTTGAAGTTGCACCATGAAATATTGAATTTCTGTTCAAATTGTCCTGAATCAACCGAAGCGCTTGATTTTCTTTGCAATTCAAAGTATGATGGAATTCGTGAGAGCTTGACATGATGATTACTTGATGACTCACTGATTGAGAAGCTCGAAAAAATATGCAGAGTGCACTTGAACTCCGAAAACCCTGAATTTCTGCTTTGCTATACTGTCGGACGGAACACTTATTTTTGTAGCTCGCCGAGGATAAATACTTGGATCCCGTAACCATGAAATCGATGATATGCTATGCACGATCTTGATGGGTCATTCAATTTCAACTAAAAATTTAATCTTTTTGAAGTATTTGAAATTGCAATGTTTTTACTTGGTTGCTGAGAAAATCTTAAAAAAAGGGCGTGCTTTGAACTGTCTGTATTGTCTTCTTGAAAGTGTTGATGTGGATGAAAATAATATGTTTTCTCTTTCACTTTGGAACAAGGACAGGTTGTTTTTGCTATTTAGGTAATAATGTCGTGTAACAGTTTCCCGTTTACTTTTTCATTTTTCTGTTACTAACATTTGTGGTTAGTTTTAGAATTGTTGTTGTGCATAAACTAATAAATTTAACATTTCAAAATTAAAACAATATTTGTTGGGGATGGTTGATTTTGTAACAAATTTTGCAGAATCTCTCTTTTATTTCCCTATCTCGCTATTCTGTTTTTTGTGAATTCAACTAAAATCTTTTCAACTAAGCTTTCTATGCTTTAAATATGTAAAAATCTCTCTGCTCAACTATCATTCATATTAAAGTTTTTCTCTTTTCATTTTGCAGATTCTAGTATAGTAATAAAGAGGAAGATAAATAAAATAAAAGTCATGTGCAACATATCAAATAGAAAACCCTCTCAAGAATATGGAAGACAGGAAGAACTGCATCATAAGGTTTGTGATTTGCTTGTGTTTTCAGCCACAGATGATGTAAAAGCTTTCAAAGAGGCTGTTGAAAAACACAATCATGATGTCAATGAGGTCGGGTTGTGGTATGGAAGAAGGATTGGCTCAAAGGAAATGGGATATGAAGAGAGGACACCTCTTATGATTGCTTCCTTATTTGGAAGCAAGGCTGTATTGTGTTATATTCTCGAAACCGGCCGTGTTGAGGTAAACCAAGCGTGCGGATCGGATAGGGCTACTGCTCTTCATTGTGCTGTTTCTGGTTGTTGTGCTGCTTCTGCCGAGGTTATCAAGCTTTTGCTTGAAGCATCTGCAGATGTTAATTCTGTTGATGCGATGGATAAACGGTGCATTGACTTGATTGTCATGATGCCTAATAGTATCTCCGGTTCAAAGAAGAGGCTACTACAAGCCATACTAGATGGTACTGATAATATCGATGATGACAATTATTTCCTTAAGGAGGTAGGTTTCCAAATGGAGAAGCAGCAACAAGATATTAGTACACCTCGAATCGAGAGGAAAGATTATCCGATCGATCTATCTCTACCCGACATAAATAATGGAATATATAGTACAGATGAATTTAGGATGTATATATTCAAAGTGAAGACTTGTTCAAGGGCTTATTCTCATGATTGGACTGAGTGTCCCTTTGTTCATCCAGGGGAAAACGCAAGGCGCCGTGATCCGATCATATATCATTACACCTGCGTCCCTTGTCCTGAGTTTCGGAAGGGGTCATGCAGTAAAGGGGATGCTTGTGAATATGCACATGGTATTTTTGAGTGCTGGCTTCATCCTGCTCAATACAGAACAAGGCTTTGTAAGGATGAGGCCGAATGCACCCGAAGAGTCTGCTTTTTCGCTCACAAACCCGAGGAGCTTCGGCCATTGTATGCTTCTACTGGTTCTGCTTTGCCTTCACCTATATCCTATTCAAATTCACCTAGTGCTTCTTCAATGGATTATTTCTCATTGAGCTCTCCGTCCAGTTCGACAAAGTCCATGTCGACACCGCCTTTGACTCCATCTGCAGCGTCATCTCCTTCAGGCGGAACCATGTGGCCGACTCAGTCTCATGCTGCAGTTCCTACACTTCAATTGTCGAGAAGCAGATTGAAAACTGCATTGAATGCTAGAGATGATACTGAATTTCTCGAACTTGAAAATCGCCTTTTGCAGAAGCTAATGATTGAAGAGATGACAGGTCTTTCATTCCCTTCAGATAGGCTTGCAGGTGTGAATCCTGCCAACCTCGAAGACATTCTCGGTTCCGAGATGCAATCTCCAACATCAATTCAGGTGCACCCGAATGTGACTCAACAACTTTGGGGCTTTTCTTCTGACCTTACCAATACAAGAAATGATGCCTTGTCGAAGCGGAGCCAGAGCTTTATCGAGCGCAGCAACATGGGAAGCTTTAGTTCTAAGCTTCCTTGTGCTACCTCGGCTGCTATGGAGCCATATACTAACTTCTCTGGTTGGGGCTCCCCTGATGGAAAATTAGACTGGTCCATCCATGGTGATGAACTGAATAAGATGAAAAAGTCTTATTCTTTCGGCTTTGGAAACCAAGAATGCAATTCAACAATGGCTGCAAAAAGTGCTGATGAGCAAGATGTATTAATAAGGCAGGAATCATGGGTTAATTCACTAGTGAAGGATGCACCAACAGTGCAATCAGATCAATATTGTTTTGAAGTGTAAGATCAAATGCAATGCCATAATCCAGATGCAATTCTGTAATTTTCAGAGCTGTTGTAGATGGAGTATGATCAGATAGATGGTGGTGTGAATCTAATGTTAACTCTTACATTGGATCCTATGTGCATCCCTAGACTAAGTTATGTATTAAATAATTATTATTATTATACTTTTTTCATAGGTGAGGACATTTTGTTGAAAAAATGTAAAATGTCAATAATACAAAAGTTGGAGAGAATGCAAGTATTTTGCATCAGTACCAACTTGATACTACTATACTACTAGGGTTTAATTATTTGTTTTGTTATTATTTATGTTGAATTGAGTTGTAACTTTTTTATTAGTTATGTTGAACTGAATGCAAGTATTTTTTTTTTCTATTAGAAATTACTTGATATTTGGATGTCATCACATTACTAGCTAAGTTTCTATTTTATAGTTTCACCGCTGTTCAGGAAAAATCTATTAGCAATGTTCCAAGTATGTAGTTTCTTGTAGTTAATCTTGTTACATAGAGGATTTAAAAATATGCAATGAGGCATATTGATCTTGGAGTAGAAGACACAAAGATCAAGAAAGTGTCGCAAATATGTTAGAATTTAGTTAAGGATAGGGAGAAGATCAAAATAATCGTCAGAAGGGATGATGATGTCTATGGCAATGTATAGACAAACTTATGTGTTTTAGGATGTTTTAGTTCTTTGTTATTTTTCAATCTGAAATTTCCTAGTTTTTGTATTATTTCAATTCTGCAAGTTTTCCTTTGTATTTTGAATTCTTAGCAATTTCCAATTAATAAAAGAGTGACGTTTTTCCTTTTTTAAATAATTATATTTCAATATATTTGAATATTTAAATTATCGCAATACATCTTTATCTGCATTTTTCATCTTGACAAAGGGGAAGAAGTATACTCTTAGGGGAAAGTAGAATATACTCTCTACTCTCTACTTTTTTATTGCATTGTCATCATCAAAAAGTGAGAGAATGTGAAATCATGATTTACAAGTTTAGTGATCAAGGGAGATCTCAACTCTTGAATAAGATTTTGATAATAACAACTAACAATTTAAGTGAAAGGATAACAAGCGGTCAAAGATGCAATTAGACCAAGTAGACAGAGCTAGGGTTTAATGATCACTGCAAATACTCTCTAATGATTGGGGTCTAAATGGAATATGACTCAAGCCTCATCTGAATTCAAAGTTCAAGCAAGTGTCTACAAGATTGAAGTAGCTCACAAGTCTTGAAGTGTGTGAAAGCTCTCTCTGACGCGTCTGAGCGAATAAGTATTGTAAAAGCATAAGGGTTTTCTCGTAAAATTTACGGCTAATCACACACACACACACTAAAACAAATTTTATAAATATTTTTCATTAAAAAAAAATCTCTAAAAATGATTTAAAGTCGTGCCAGATGAATTAAAAGTTGTTAGAAAAATTTTGGCGTATTTTTCATATCGGCAATTTGATTGGTACTTATACTCAATCAATTGGATTAGTACAAAAATGTGACCTAAACATTTAGGATAGCATCTTAATGAATGATAACGCCTAAATATTTTTTATTACCTTTTAAAACTTTCTAATGAATTATTTTTAGGCCAACCAATTGATTGGTACATATGCCAATCAATTGGCTCGTCAATTTTGGCCACAAAGATTTCTTTTTGTTAGGTCAACCTATAGCCTATAAATAGAGGTCCCTTCACCCATATTTTAGCATCCAAAAATGTGAACTCTCGTGCCTCACTTGTCACACTCTCTCTACAATATTTTTCTTTACTTTCTCTTAGTTAAATCTAGTCCTAGTGCTTTTGAGAAAGTTCTTTTGCAAGTGAGGCATTTGTGTAATTTTAGAAGGATAGTATTGTAAATTCACCAATGAACTTTTGTTTTTACCTTGGTTGAATAATCCATCCATTTAAGAGTTATTTATTGGGGTTCGAAGCTAAATCCTTTAAAAGCTTCGATTGGGGTATTAGTTATTGAATCATCGATTTAGTTCGAAGGCTCGGCCCATTCAAAAGCTTTCATCAGTTAGAGATCATCTAGATATTAAAACATCAAGTTGGTTTGTGGTTATATTGTGTAAAAACTTTATTCGGTTAGTAAGCTCAACATGGTTAAAAGCTTTCTAAGGTTGAAGATATGTCAGGTAAATAATTTCTAGGTTCGTGAGTTTATTCCGGATTAAAACCTCGCCCCACTTCAAGATTAACCAGTGTAAAATCTTGATGTGAAACTTGAAGACTAGCCACTACGAGTTTCTGTTTGGAAAGAAGACTAATTTTTACAATCTATTGTTTGGAAGGAAGACTCACTGCTTCTCTCCTTGTTCGTTGTTTGGTTGAAGTTAGCCACAAAATTCATTTTCCTTGTATAAGGAGGTTCGATTGTCCAACCTATTAAAAGATCTTAAGTTTGTTGGATACTCTCAAGAACAAATATTGGAGAGATGATTATGTCTTTTTCTTTTAACCGAACCTCTATAATTTCTGGTGTCATCTCCTTATCTCTTAACTATTTACTTTCTGCATTTAATTTTCCGCTACTTATTTCTAAAACTTTTCTCTAAATATTTTCAAACTCTGAAATTAATCCAAAAGGTTTTCAAACTCAAATTTTTCGGGAACACACAATTCACTCCCCATCCCTCTTGTGTGTGGAGTTGTATGTTCAATAAGGAGAATCACAAGTTAAGCATATCCAGTATTACAACAGTGGCCCTAAATAAGCCGAAAATAGTGTGTCGGTGGATTATACAACTACTAAAGAAGTATCAGGCATAACTCAACAAAACATGGGGGAATCAAGTGTGAACATAAATGCAGACAATTCAGACATCAACAAGATACATACCATGAATAATTCAGGAGTTCACAAGACAAAGTTAACTTATGTTGGAGTAGTTGAGGCCCACAAAGACACAATGGAACCTATAAGTTCCAAAGAAGCTTTCACAAAACCTTTGTGGAAAGAATCCATTCAAAGAGAATTACAAGCTCTCATGTCCAACAATACATGGACACTAGTGCCTCATCGAGATCAAGAAAGTATAGTTGGCTCAAAATGGTTCTTCAAGATCAAATACAAGTCAGATGGCTCTGTAGAAAGGAGAAAATTCAGACTTATTTGGCATTGATTATGAAGAAACATCCAACTTTGTAATCAAAGTTAGTGTAGTCATAATTATCCTCTAAATTGTAGTGCACCTCAACTAGGAAGTAGATCAACTAGACATCAATAATGCATTCCTAAATGTATACCTCAAAGAAACAATGTTCATGCGCCAACCTAAAAGATTTGATGATCCAACAAATCCTAATCATATATGCAAACTATTCAAGGCAATCTATGATTTGAAGCAAGCACCAATAGCTTGGTTTGATAGTCTCTAAAATGCACTATTGAACTGAGGTTTTCAAAACAAAAAGAGTGACTCCTCTCTTTTCCTTCTAAAAGGTAAAGAGCATATCATGTTTCTTATCATATTTATGGATGACACGGAATTCACATGGAGCAACAACAATTTCCTTCAAGCCTTCATTAAACAACTTAATGATGTTTTCTCTCTGAAATATTTGGGCCAGGTGCATTATTTTTAGGCATAAAAGTACAAAGAGATACCAACATAATGTACCTTAAAAAATCGAAATACATAGGTGAATTTTTGAAGAATTTAAATATGGACAATGCCTCACCATGCCAAACACATATAGTAACTGGTAGGAAATTCTCAATTGAGGGGGAGAAATTGAAAGATCAAAGTGTGTTTAGATAACCCATAGAAGGGTTGCAATACCTGACACACATAAGACATGTCATAATCTTTTTGTGAAAAAACTCAATCGATACATGATTTCACCCACCATTGACCATTGAGAAGGCATAAAAAGATTTTTGAGGTATCTCAAAGGCACCATCAATCATTTCTTACGCATCAAGCCATCTACAAACTTGGATATAACTAGCTTCTCTAATGTAAACTGGGCCATCAGTGTTGATGACAGGAAATCCATGTTTGGTCAATGTATATTTAATGGGTATTTTGTAAGTGTACGAAAAGTATTAGAGTAATTGTTGAATCCACAGAGACCTAGTAGTCAAGCTATCATTTTCTATTACTATGGTGTTTATCTAAGGCGGTTAAAATGATGATTGGAGATACGGAAAATAAAGTAGAATAGAAGAAATTAACTAATTCAGAAATGCAATGCTGGAATGTGGATCTCATCAATTCGTTGATATTCTTATTGTTCCTAAATTGAACTACCCATGGAACAATGTTTTCCTCTTTGAAAAAGAATTAATTAAAAAGGAACCGTCATTGTGGCATAATCGAAACCGAATTTCACTCTCTAATTTATACTGTCCTCTATCGCATAACCGATGCATTTTGCTTTATAGAAGTAGATACCATTTTTTTTAAATAAGTTTCTTTTACTCAGATATAAAGTAGTTTTTACTTGAAAATTATACTTTAAAGGGTTCCCGACGTTCGCTCGGCCAACCGTACCTTAAACACATAAATGCATCTGAAAATGAGTTTAAAAATAATTTCTAAAAAATAATAGCTTTTCTAATTAATTAACAAAGAGCTCCCACGTTATTTATCAATTAAAAACTAAACAACCTTAATATTTTGTACCGGACGACTTTCGATCTTACCTAGCATATATATGGTTCTACTTTCGTAGCAACCTAATAAATTAAGTTTAGAAAAGCTATTATAAAAATCAAAACAACCCCATAAGTATTTCTCAAATAACAACAATTTAGAGTATTATCGAATCGACGGTCCTCACATTCTAACACTTATAATTTAGCTAGACACATGATTATAACATACGACAAAACAATTGATTCGATCATGGAATAAAACATAATAGACATAGAAAGTAAAGTTGAAAACATGCAATTGATAGAAATTAATTTAAATAGAATTAAGTGCAGATAAATAAAGAGACGATAAAATAAAAGTATTGCGATTAATAAAAACCT